GTTTCTTGCTCTCTGTAAGTTATTTGTCTTAATTTTTGTGCTTGAAGTCTTTGATCGCATTCTTCTTCTGTTTCAGCTGGTCTTTGTGCTTGCATTCTTTTAGCGACAGAAGACTTTCCATAGAAAGGGTGTTTCTTGGGTGTCATAATCACCTGTATTACTAAACAATAATTTGCAATTCACAAAGTTACTAAATCACTTATGAAACCACTTAGCACTATTTAAAGAAAACTGTTTTTGGAAATACTGAATTGACCACAAGGTGATCTGAGTGTCTCCCACTATAATGCTTTCTATGTGCAAAATGTGCTTATGTTTGTATGTTTATTACAAAAAAAATGGTGCAATAATCTTTAATTGTCAATTTCGTCAGTAAATACTACACCAAATACAAAATAAATAGTACAATTAAATTTCTTGTAAAAAATTGGTTATTATGAAGTTATTTTAAAATTTGTACGTTCAACCTGTAATTTGGTTTCCTATAGCGAACAAGATAAACAGATATCCTGTTTTATATATATAGATAGCATGAAAAGTATAATACACACAAAATGGTTATGAGGTCATTCCGTGGGACCCAGCTCATTGTGAGAGAGTTAATAGGAAATAAATGCTTCTGAGAGAATAACTTTTTATATAGTGTGAACTTTCTATTGACCAGAAGCCCTAATAGAATTTAACTGATGAATTTGGTATTGAACAGATGCTGTCTGTGGTTAGTGGATGAATTTGGTGGTGAACAGATGCTACTTGTGTTTAGTGGATGAGTTTGGTAGTGAACAGAAGCTGCCTGTGTTTAGTGGAAGAGTTATGTAGTGTTATTTACCCTCTGGCAAGTGATATATATTAAAGAAGTAAAATATGTATTGTTTTAATAAGCAAATTGTGATGAGTTTATCACAATTTAGAAAAACTGACTTCACACTTGCACTGTGTTTCTTTTCTTTTTTTAGTTGGTGCATTTTCTGGTATCTTTGGTTCACCCAAATCACGATATAAAACTGAAGAGAAAGTTGCCATTGATGATAACTAATGAAAGAAGAAATGCCAAGCAGTAGCAAAGTCTCTCGAATGAGTGAAGTTAGTAGTGATACCATTAACTTTAACCTAAGGATGGTGAATATAGGGTTTATTTGTTATTACATTCTTGAAAATAAAAACAGATTATTGTAAGTATAACATTATTTAGCATCAAGTTGAATTGTATGTGTAGTGATAATTTATTATGCATACTTTCTTGTTTCTCTATCTACTCACTGTTTTCTTCCACAGTTTTGGTTCAAGCATCACCAAAACTGGTCAGGATAGTAAAAATTATTAAAAACAGGTAAAGAAAATATTTGCTTTGCTGTTATCACTTCCAAAAACTTTAATGTGAAGAGGAGGGTACAGTGGAAACTTTGCTGATTTGAAGAGGGGGGGGGGAGGCTTTTGCTATTTAATGTTTGGAAAACACTGTGTTAGAGGGTATTATAGTGACATTTTGTAATTAGTATCTACTGGAACATTAAAAAAAAAGGTAACCAACTAATAGACATAGGTGAATGTATAAGGTATTAAATTGTTGATACCAAAGTTACCATAAATATTATACATATTCTTGCTTGAACTACCTCCTATACAAAAAAAAAGAGTTGTATTTATAATTTATATTTCAACATAAGAAAAGGTATAGTATGAAAGGCATTTTAAGTACCTGTTAGTTGTAACAGTTTCAGAATATCCCACAAATCAAAAACTAGTGATTTTCAGTTATCAGTTCAAAAAATCTGAAAAATTAACATCCTTACCGTGTACTTTTATTAGCAATTGGAAATTATAGTTTTGCTGTTTCTTTGTCAACAAAGTTTAAATATTGCCTTATATACAGACACTATTGAAAATTAACATAGATAGATTTTTAAAATCCAAAATTAGCTTTTGTTAATTTAATGTATTAAAAAAATTCATGTTAAAAAAAAACATACAGTATAAAGTGTTTTTAGCACATTACGGTAACACTTTTGAAAATCAATAATAAATATGATAGGTTTCTTTTGATGCTATATGTATTTAATATATTTGTGTAAGAGAAAACTTTCAAATGAACCAGAAGCAGTAGAGTTCCTTCATTCCTGGAGTACTCCATGTCTTCTCAAACCATGATTTAAGGAGCTGTGCCTCTTTCTCATTCTTGGAATGTTTATGTAAATGAAATTCACTGTCTTGTTGTCAGAGCATCCGAGTAGATACAACTATTCGTGCCATTATGATCTGTAGGTTTTCAAGCCTTTGAAGGTTTTCTCTTGTTCTATTCCTTTCATGAGGAATGCCTTATAAGATGGCAAAGAAGTGCCATTCAGCAGGGATGCCAAGGTCTTCATGATGGTGACATAAATTTTTTAGATTCAAGTGATCTGTATATTGAGCATCACAACCATCAGAGAAATTGAATATTTTTTTGCACTTTGTTATCTTTTTGTTAATAAATTTGAAAAGAGGAACTGCTACAGTATCGTAATCATTGTTTTCTGGACTTAAAGAAAAGTTATATGTATCACCATGGTTTCACCACCTTCCCCATGGTCTTCTTCTTTCTTCTAGTAATAGACAAGTGAGTGGATGATGGCTTGTAGGTTATTCCAGTGAGATGACTGTGCAGCATCATGAAGGAAAAAGCTATCATTCTTAGCAGAATTTCCCTCTACGAGGAACTCTCCTGGTTGCAAGGAATCCTTTGAATCATGGAGCAACCAATTCTGCACTTTTGTAATAAAAGTTTTGGCAATGCATTAGTGAATATTGCTAGAAATTCTTCCATGGTTTGTTTATAATTTGGTTTTGATGGCAGAGCACTTCATTGAAATCGATTGTTTGCATTGAATTTTGTCTTTAATCTGCTCATCAAAGCATCTTTTGATTCTATCATGGAGATCTCATTCTTGGGCATTTTTTACATTTGTATCAAGCAAGCACTGGTTGGAGGGTTGCATTAGATTGCTGTTGGTAAGTGGTGATAGCTGGAGATTATGGGGATTCTCTTCACTCAGAAAAGTATCTTTTCTCTCAAAAACATCAATTTTGTTTTGACAGATTGTGCACATACAAACTGAGTGTATTCCAGATCCTGCAGGAAAGTTGCATTGTTTCAGATGAAATTCAACAAATGCTATAAAAAGTATGGTCTGAGCAATGATAATTTTATAGTGAGTAATTTTCATTTATAGTTATTGGAGAAGTGGTGGATAAAATAGAGGAGATACTTAGAGAAAATGTGTCACACTAGGTGAAATTCTGGATTTTTTAAAATATTGCCTTACAAAATGAACTTAAAACCTATATGCTATTAAAATATTTATTATTAGCTAAGATTTTATACTATGCTAACTAATTAATAAAATTTTGAATGTAAGACACTAAAACCTTGTGTCATGGGCAGTAAAGGATACCCATGGTGATAGGGTTAAAGATGACAGTATCACTTAGCAGTTATTCCAATTGAAAATCTTGTCGGTAATGTTTCTCAATGTATTTTCAGTCTTCAGAAAATGCTCAGCTCTCAGATGGTTTGACCATACGTGACATCACTGACTCACCAGACTTGGAATTGATAGCAGAACCAGAGAAAGAGCTTACATGGATCACTGCAATATCTTCTCCACATGATGCAAAATCTGTTCCCGAAGAAAGTACAGAGAAAAATGATCTCAGTAACTCGCCAGATTCAGAATATATTGAACCTTTATGTGTTTTGGAGGAAACAAATTTGTGGTATGAGTGCGTATATGAATATGTTTGTGTAGATGGCTATGCGGCTCTTAGAGCAACAAATATAAGCTCATTTAGAGATGCTTATTTTATACCTCCAGTTTTTATCAAATAATAAAATAAACTATTGATGCACTTTTATCTAAGTTATAATATGTAGAATTAAAGAAAATATCTCGTATTCAGTAACATTGTCTTTGTACCAAGAGCTGTTATCGTGCATGCAACTGCCATGGAGTTTCCTGAGCATGCCACAAGCCTTGAACAAATTTTCAACCCTACACGTGTTTATGTGTATTGTACCAGCCTATGACATAACTGTTATAATACTGTAGCCCTTCACCAGTAGGAAGACATAACAACCTCCATGTATGGTAATCACCTCGAGCACTGGCACATGATGATAGGCTTATTCTTTCCTAAGCACTGCCTGAGTTTAAACATGCTTTTTTTCTGTGATATTTGAACTTGTAGTCAACTTAATCAACTGCCTTTATTTCTTTAGCACTTGTTACATTGCTTTTGTCCTTTTGTTCTATCCACCTGATTGCAACTTTGTTTTTTCTAGCCATTACATTTGTACTTTAGACTTCTTTCAACAACATATGCCACGTAAGTTATTAACAAAAAATAAAAATGTCCAGAGGCATTTTCTCCAACTGACTCAACAGCAATTTGAGACACTTATCTATTTATGGACCTGATATTTATTTATTATCCCTTTAACTCCTGTATGTGACAGGTCTTGGATTTCACTCTGTGGTGAGGTATGTTTGACATCATAAATAACTTCCAAAACATTATTGAACTGTGATGAACCATGGTGTAACCAAAAGTTAAATGATGACGTTCTTCCTTTCATGCATCATGTGTTTGATTCCCTTCTGTCTATTTCTTCTCATGCTCAGGTTCAACGTCTTCTGAAGAAGAGCATGCAGCTGCTGCTGAGTAACGTCATATTAATCCTTAGACTCAAAACTAATTCTGTTTAATGGTGTTATTTTCTTTTGTTCTGAATGAGGTTATTCTTTCTTCTCACTTTAGTATAAGATCTAATTGTACCAGCTCATCTTGAGGTTGTTGGTAGTGTTTTTCACATGATGCAGAAAGAACTGAACAAACACTTTTCTCTGAAGAATGAGAGTCTTCACTTTGACCAGTCTGTTGTACATCTGCTGCTGGCTACCTTGTCAATCGATTCTCTTTCAGGAAGACTAGCTGCTTCTTTCAAAATAGCATTAATGATACTATTACTTAAGGCAGATTTCATATCTTCCAATCCCTGATGATCAAACAAACAAAACTATAGTTCAGATCCAGAACAGTATCCATGAAATAAATCCTGCTGCTATAAGACTGTTTTCACAAACAAAATCAGTGTGTGAAGTTATTTGCAACTTTGTGGAGACCAAGATCTTATATGCTGAAACCTCATAATTTGATCTTCAGGCTGGTCTTGAGATCCCATTTCTCATTCCCATATAGTAGACAACTTGACCGCTGCTGTGTGCCTACATTGCTCATGTAACTGATGTTCAGTGGTTATGATATTGTAGTTACTTACATTGTCTAGTTAATGGTTGTTAATCTATCATTCTGTAACAGACAGCTTGGACACTGCTACTCGTATATATTCACATAATCTAAACTATGTATACTATAGCTGATAATATAAACACAACATCAATAATTGTTTTCTTATAAAAAATTATTCACTCTGTATTTTAAGTTTTCTATTGTAAGTTGGAAAAGTATTTATTAAATACTTTACATTATTTTTAAACGTAGAAATTTATATATTTTGTTTTTTTATTTTAAGTATTTCTTCGGTGTTATCCCAAGCCAATGAATCAGATGATATTGCTTGTACCTCTGTGGTCCAAAACCCTATAACATCACTAGACAACATAGACAACAATTTTGTGATGAACTTTGCAGACCCAGTAGCTTTGTCTACTGTTAAAAAAGAACCTGAAACCTGGGAATCACCTTCAGCATCTATTAATACAAGTTGTGATTTTATGTCCAATTTTCCTAATACTACATTCACAACTGAGGAGAACCTGGCAAGCAGCAAAACTACTGTGGTATTGGAACCTACTAGTGTGGGCAAAGAAGTGGTATTGACTAACTCTGATTCTGATAAAAATATGTATGTATGTTTTAGGGTTTTCACAAGTGTAGTTTCCATTGGTAATATGGATAGACACATTCAAAAACTAAATATTTCATTGAAGTTTCCTATGTTAGATAGTTTAAAAAACTACCTTTTTAGTAATGGATAGTTAAGAAGCCAGATATTGGGAATTATGGATATTTAAGCAATCAAGTATTTGGACTAATGAGTAATTCAGAAACCAGGTATTTGAAGTAATGAGTAATCTAGAAACCAGGTATTTGGAGTAATGGATAGTCAAGAAAATGGGAAATAGGAGTAATAGGTTGTTAAGAAGCCGGGTATTTAATAATAGATTTTTAAGAAGCCATGTTTTGGAGTAATGGATAATCTAGAAGCTAGTCTTTGGAGTAATGGATTGTTAAGAAGAGAGGGATTTGAAGTAAGTGATTGTTAAAAAGCCACATGTAGTAGTGGATAACTAAGAAGCTACGTATATGTAAAATTGGACAGTTAAGAATTGACACATGTATGGATAGTAGTGGATAGTTAAGAATAGCTAAATATGACATCTTTTACCACATATTTTAAATTTCAAACACAAGTTTAAACGAAAAACATAAAATTATTCTTCAGGGAGAGTTTTATTGACCAACTAGAAGGTATTGAAACTGAACTCGACTGGCTACAACAACACTTAACTGGCAGTTCCTTCAATATTGATCAGAGTACCTTGTCAGAGGTGAGTAACTGCTTCACTGTTGTAAGTAGCTGCAGCATGATAAAGCTGTAAATAAAAAAACAATTGTTAAACTTAGTGTTATTGACTTATGCCCAAATAACTTTTGTTGTTATTGTTAATGTAAAGTCATGTAGGCTGAATTAGTTTTGTTGAGTTAGGCACATGTATGTAGAAAGAAAAAAGGTTTTGTAGAACACTGTTCAGAATGCATATCAATAATTTAAGCATCAATTTGTGATATAACCTTGTCCAATGTCGAAAGTATAAATAATATTATGACACTTTGTTGGAGATAAGCTTTAATTGTACAAATAACAATGGAAAATTTGTAAGAAAATTTCTGAAACTATTCTGAAGTACTTTTCATAGGAATAATTTTGTACTAAGATCAAAATTCGTATTCACAACATGTTAAGAGTGCCATATGTTAGTTGGTACTAGAGAAACATTCATAAACATTTGAATAGCACACAAAAATATGGTTTAGGAGTTTTCCTGAATAATACTATTTCAGTAAAAATATATGAATAATAGTCCAGTGGGAGTTTGAGGTAACCTTGCACTGCAGGTTCCACAATGGTTCTTTGTTGATTTTGTATCTTCTAACTACGTACAATCAGAAAATGGAGTATACCAAGTTGGTACCCTTGGGGAAATTTTAAATAATGGCTAGTTTCCATGATAACCCCTCCCCCCATTTCAAGGGTCATATCTCAGCAACTACAACTGATATAATTTTGAATAAACTGTCAATTTCTAGGTTTTTGGGAACAACAAATCTATTGGTTGCATTGTTCTATTGATTAGAGACGTGTTTTATATTGTTGTGGCAATGGCTGCTGATTTTCAGAATTTCAGTAGTTCATCATACCAGCAAACAGTACCACACTTGTACATCTCTTGAATAAGTTCCATCTCTTTTGATCATCATGCAAATTGCTATTTGCAATGGAGTTGGGGTTTTGTTGAGGAGGCTTTTGATCATATTACAAATCATTATCATTGGCAGTTTCTGGGTATTGCTTGGCATAAGCTTATTCAAAAGATCCATCATGGTTTGACTTGCATATTCTTTAGTCGAATAAATATTTATTCAACACTGATATACGTCTTTATGAGCAGGAATCATCTTTGTATCAAGCTTCATGTGCTTTGCTACTCTCTTGGTAGCTAGTGCTAGTTCATCATCCTCGTTATCTGGAACCATGTTAAATGCATCTTTGGCTCTGTCTTGGAACATCAGTATACTTGCAAGTCCATGTGATGTAAAAACAAGAAGATCATCAAAATGTGTTGGCAATTCAGTGGGAGAAACTTTCATTTGGACAAAATTTCACCTCCATAACTTTGGTATTGGTCATATGTTTTAGACAAATTCCTGTTCCAAGATCAATTGCATTGATATCAGAAATAATAAATCCTTTGAAGTTGGCTCTTGAGCTGTTGTTCTACTTGAACATACAAGTTTTACTGACCTTTGTGCCATAAATTGGGTTTTTCAATCATATTGATACCTAGCACCTGCTGTATATAAATCACTGACTGATCCTTGTACTTTCACTGACACCTCATGTATCCACTGATTCTCATGCACAAAACATGTGTCGAGTATGACTTGTTTAAATGGTTTTTGGTGTCCATGGTGTGCTGTAATACACAAAATTATTTGCTTTTGACAATCTGGGTGCTTCTTATCGATATGACATCACTATAAATGAGAAAAGATCATTGTTAATGCACACAAACAGAATGGGGTTTAATTTAATTGAAAATAAAATATACCATAAAACATTATATAATTCTACACATTTGGGTTTGTATGATTGTATACACCTTACTGTTATTTAAAGAGTGTTTTGATAATAATTCTATTCAATTATACAATAACACTTTTGTAGGAGTTTTATAAACAGATTTTATAAAAGTTTTGTAACAGTGGATGAAGTATATTATAAGTAAAAAATACATTGTGTTTATTTTTTTATTTAGTCTTTTGTTTCTTTCCAGAAAAATTCACAATTATTTTGTCAGACTTCCCATAAGAGTATAGAACACATCTCTAATCAGTAATATGATACTAACCAGTAGATTGTTCATGACTGACAACCTAGGAATGGACAGTCTATTCAATATTCTATCAGTTGTAGTTGCTGACATATGACCTTTTATATCTATACAGTTATGCTTGAAATTAGGGGAAGGGTTACCATGGAAACTAGCCATTATTTAAAAATGGCCAAGGGTGCCAGCTTGACATATTCCATTTTCTGATTGTATATGGTCTGAAGGTACAAAATCAGCAAAGAACCATTGTGGGACCATCAGTGTAAGGTTAGGTAAAAAAAAACCAAAAAACAACCTACATTGGCTACCAAACTATAGTGAATTCACACATTATGAACTAGGAGTATTTCAATTTTTAATGTAATTATATATTATGTAACCTTGCACATCATACATACCAGATGTTTAGTGAAAATAATGGTAAAGTTAGCCGACAAAGTACAAAGATTTTTCTGTGTTATTTTATGTTTAGCTTCATGAGCTAAAACATACAGAGTATTTATGGTGCAGTGAATATTTTGAACCCAAGTGATACGAACTTTTGTTTTGCTGATTATTGTAGTTTACTTTGAAATCTTGTAATCTTATCACTGTTCATTCCATTTGGCTTTTTTGTATGTATATGGTTTTTGTACTTGTATCAACTATTACAGTTTTTTCATTTAGATATTCAACAGTGGGGAAGACTTCCTGTTGAGTCCCTTGACAACAGTAAGTATTTGTATCTGCCACTCAAACTCCTTACATTAATATTCACATAAAATACATGAAATTTGTAAAATGTATCACCTACAGTTAATTGTTTGTACTTGCTTAGCTTTCCAAAATATATTACCTATAGTTCTTGAAATGTCCTTGTTAAACTTTGTAAAATACATCATCAAGAGCTCAGAAATTGTATTTCTACAGCTTTGTAAAATACATCATCTTGAGTTCTTGAGTTGTACAGCTTTGTAAAACACATCGCCTGGAGTTCTTGAGTTGTACAGCTTTGTAAAATACATCGCCTGGAGTTCTTGAGTTGTACAGCTTTGTAAAACACATCACCTTGAGTTGTACAGCTTTGTAAAACACATCACCTTGAGTTGTACAGCTTTGTAAAACATGCCACCTGGAGTTCTTGAGTTATACAGTTTTGTAAAACACATCGCCTGGAGTTCTTGAGTTGTACAGCTTTGTAAAACACATCACCTGGAGTTCTTGAGTTGTACAGCTTTGTAAAACATGCCACCTGGAGTTCTTGAGTTTTGCAGCTGTATAAAACACATAACCTAGAGTTCATGAATTGTATTTTCTCAGTTTTGTAAAGTATACAGAGTTCATGAATTGCATCTGTTGAGCTTTTCAGAATGCATCACATAAAAGTAATAAATTGTTCTTTATCAGCTTTAATTAATAATGATTTTTTTTTATTATTTAATTAAGTTCTTATGGCTGTGTATTTGAGAGCCAGATTTGGTTTTTGTCAAATTGTGTTCCATCAAGTGATCATACAAGCAGTAATGCAATTGATATTGCAGTACAGAAGAATTAATGTGCATGTTTTTATAATGTGGATATTTCATTGATTACTATATCAACAGTATTTTGTCAACTTATAAATAAAAAGTTAAACAAATCTATAAAAACTATAAAAGGGTGTGCTACTATTAAATTCAGAGAGATATAAGGTATTGTTTGTGGCTTTCTCCATGCAAATGTTTCATCTTTTATGGATTTCAGAACCCAGAAATAGCTTAATTATGCCAATCATTTAGGGGAATTAAGACATGAGTTTTTTTTATTTAGTAGAAAATCATTCAGAAAATTCAATTAAGATTAGAATAATTTTTCTTCTCAGTCAAAATCTATCATAAATAAATTCAGTCTCCCTTTTTTTTTGAGGTTCAAAGATTTATTGAACATTATAAAGAACTTTTTTTTTAAATGTGAATGAAAAATAATATTAAAAGCTGTATACTTGTAATGCCAGTACACTAGAATGTACAAAATCCAGATAAATGTATTAATGTGTGCAGTGCATAACTCTATAGAATTAATGTATCTATATAAGCCCCCATCTATTTTTTAGCACATTTTTCTAACCTTTCTTCTGGATTTATGACTTTCTCGATTATAAGGCCCCTAGTAACATATGAATCATAAAGAACATATATAAACAAAAATATAAAGTTAATACCACTAAATACTGCTGGGACATTTATGTATTTGACATAGAAAATGAGTGATTTCTTTCTATCCTCTTTTTGTCAATTCTTTATACTGAGAGTTGTAAGAAGCAAAAACATTAAATTATTGAATATGATACAAAATATTCACAGCATTTTAAGCTCTTAATGCATTATAAGATTGACAGTCAGTTGCTTAAAATGGGAGGTAATATGCTGCTGATTGGCTGCTTTCTCTCTGGTCAGTAGTTCAAATTTAGAAAGAGTGGTTGATGGCCTAACAGTAGCTTTAGTAAACATAATGAAATATTGCAATATGTTGACCTTACTAGTAGTGAATGTTATAAAAACAAGTTTGAATATGCAGCTTAAAGAAAGGCATGGTTCAGCTGTCCTGTATTTAGATTAAACTAGAAATAGAAGGCTAGTAGTTTGTTTTTAAACACAGTTTTTATTATGCAGAAAATTAACCATATGTAACATCCCAGCTATTTAAAAAATATGAAATATGAAAGATATGAGCTAATGTATATTCGTAGGACAGTGATACATAAATATATGTAGTCAGAATATCCTTCTATATAATTCCCAAAGGAAACTGTTTTCAAATTTGTTTTGATGCCTATAATCTTCAGTCAACACACAAGCATACAGTTCCTGCTGCCAAAGTAATATTTCAGAAGTATTAAACATAAGTATTTACATTTATACTTAAAACTAATATTCACATGTTATAACCTTGTGTTTTCAGTTAATGTAAGTCATCCTAAGTAATGTTACATTTGCAGAGTTTTTAAGGTTGGTTGTGTGTACTTTTAAACGGCAGTATAGATACAGACTTACTGGAGTTTCCTTTTCTACAGAACAATTCCAATACATCTGAGAATTCTTCCAAAGAACATAATGGTAAGTGAAATACCATCATATGTCCTTTCATGGTAAGCTCTCTGTATTATACAATACATTGTTTTTAAAATTAGATTCTAAATAAGCTCATTGTGTTCTCAAGTTAATTTGTTGTTTGACTATAAAGTTATCAGTAGGTCTAATGCTATTTCCTGTGTTATTTGGAACTCACTGATTACCTGGGTAGGCATCAAGTGCTATAGAATGGTGAGAACTAATTTACTTACCTCATGCTGTTTTTATAACTAATACATTTTTTTTGTATAGAGTAAATTCTATTCAAATTTTTTTATTAATTTTACTTAAATCAATGTAGCAGTTCTTGAATAACATATGCACCAAAATAACTATAGGAAAAATAAAAAGAATAATATTATTATAAAGAATGAAAAAATAAGAAAACACAGAATTGTAAAAAAATGACTGCAAGAGAATTATGAGGAACTTAGCTTTCTCAAGGACAACGATGGTAAATAATAGCTTTGTAACCAGTTTATAAGATGTAATTTAGTATGCACAGTGTAAAAAACAACAACAACATTAAATAGAAGTTTGTTTTTCTTCCTATTGCTTAAACCCTTCTAAATCAGATTGTATAAAATAGGAAACAATATTGAGTGAATTGGCTCTGGTTTTGATTTTTAAACAGCATAATTTTACAACATGATCTTGAAAGCAAATTGAAAACCTTTTTTATTGTTTTTTTGTGTTTGAATTCATTTTTGAAGATTTGTAAAAGGGAACATTTTCTCTGACTAAACTTAAGTAAGACAGTAGATGAATAGCGATATTAATGAATAAAAAAGCTTGAAAACAATTACTTAATGTTTTTTTCATAATTTTAGGTAACAAAATGATTCAATACAATGACTTGGACTTTAATGTTCCGGATGTAAATGATTCTGCTACTGGCATGACCTTAATTTTGTCACCTGATACACCAGCTAATAAAGTGAAGTCAACAGGTCCAAATGTTGCCAACAAGTGTGCTACTACTTCAGCATTAGATTTGGATTCTATTTTGTGTAACAAAGAGCATTCTGACTATGATTTAGATAGTGAGTTGTTGCTTTCTAATATTTTGGAATTATCTACCACAGAATCCAATAGTTGATACTCAAGTACCTTAAGTTATGTAATAGTGAAAAAATAAGATTGTACAATTTTAGAAGCATATTCATTCAGAAAGCTTTGTACAATTAATTGTTCCATTTGCTATTGCCTCAATGCATGGAAAACTTTAACAGCATTAACATCTGCTGTGCATAACATAAAATACAAGTTAGGTGTAAAAGAACTGATAATTGACACCTTAGCTTAAAATATTGCATTAGTAAAAGAGGTAAGATTTAAGATGTTATTAAATTGAGATATAACATGCATGTTGCAGTTAATAATCTCCATAAACATGTTGGTGTTTTACGTAAGTGTCTTGTTTTGTAAATTCAAGCCTTGTTAAATAGAAGACCCATTACTTAATGGTATGAACTGACCAGCACAGAAAAGGCTGGAAATCAAACCACAAACTTGACTATGCTGTAAAACTGTATGCCATGAAGCATCACAAATCTGATCATTGGTGAAGAAATTAGCTCTTAAATACCTCAAACTAGAGTCAGCTGTGTGTCATTATCCCCTCAGATCTGGTGTTGCTATTCTAAGTCCAGTTAGTAAAATGCAAATAGGTTTTAAATACACCCACACACCTGATGTAGCCTGTACAGATCCAATTATTACATCTATCGACCTATAGTTCATACAGATCAAATTATTACTCCCACAAACTTGATGTAGCTCATACAGATGTAATTATAACACCCACAAAACAGATGTAGTTCATATATATATATATGAATAATGCAACTACAGAACTATTAAAGCTCATGCAGATCTGATTATTACATGCATAAACTTGTAGCTCTCGCAGCTATGGTTAATACACCTGTTGATTTGATGTAGTTCTCACAGCTTTGGGTAGTACACCAAAGACCTGAAGTAGTTTATACAGAAACATTTATTAACTTGTACAGTAAACCTGATGTAATGCATACATATCTGGTAAATATACTGTTATATCTGATGTAGTTCATACAGATAAGTTTATTACATCCTTAAATCTAATATATTTCATACAGATCTGTATGAAATATACAGATAGAGGTATTTCATATAAATCTGTTAAATACACCTACAGCCCTTGAGTAGTTCATACATATCTGGTTAAAACATCCACAGACTACAAATATGTCTTTATTCTGAAAGGATTTAGTAAGTTTAATTTTAAATATGGAATTCATTTAAAACTACAAATCTGACTATTCTGAAGGGATTATATCAGATTTAGTTTTAAATATACAGTTTATTTAAAACTGTAAGTCTGAATTTATCATAAAAGGATTAGTAGACTTAGTTTTAAATATGCAATTTATTTGAAACTACAAATATGACTACTCTGGAAAGATTAGTAGGTTTAGTTTTGAATATAAAGCTTTATTCTAAGTTTAAGTTCTTAAACACAATAATACTGCTCTGATTTTAAGTTTGATTATCTATTAATATCACAATCTTCATTTTGATTGTAAAAGTGTTATTAATAGATATCATTAATCTAAAATAATTTAAATCTGTTTTACTTCCAGATATAGTACACTTTGTTTGTGAATTGGTTCATTATCATAAACTATATACTGACTCTTGTGCCAATAATGTTATTGTCTTTACCAGTACTTTGTTCTTGGTTTTACATTGTTATCACCTTCATAATGTTGGATATTAGTTTCCTGTGGATATTAATTTCAGTTTCAATAATATGTAGTTGAACACTGAACATCTTTAAAAAGTATTTAACAACTATTAAGAACCTTGATATCATTTTGTACTGTACAGGATGGCTTTTATCCAAAATACTTTCCCTGTGTTATTATAAGTGTTTATGATGTATATATTTAGAAAGTGTACAATTATTATTGTCAAACACATCAGAAGCAATTAATTATTACTCTATTAGATTACAGAGAAATCCTGTTCAAGAAGGTTGCTCTTATTAACAAAATGTGTCTTATGTATGCTGGGTTTCTTGCATGTTTACTTTTAATATTAGAACTTCTGTAGTTAATTATAAACAAACATTTGGATAATGATAGTAGTTTTTCTTCTTGAATGTGATAATATTTTGTTAATAGAGTAAATGATAGAAATAAAGCATCATGCTATAGAGCACTTAGTTGATTTCTAAAAATTTATTTTAATTCACCAGTTAACAAGAAATGTGTTTGAACATATTTTTGTGAATGGTTTCATTCTTCAAACACTTCCTCTTTTACAAGTTACAATATCAGAGTTTCAGAGTTTGTATAATGTGTAGTATTATAAATAGAAAATGTTACTTGTAATTCTTGTACAAATAATTTCAATTATATTATGTAAGCTGTTACATTAATTTTGTTTTTATATTTTCTAAAGAAAAGTTTTTAATAAGTTGTGGAATGTGATCAAAGATGCTATATTACAGAAGTTTTAATGCCCAGTCATTAGTAGTTTTAGGTATTTTAGTAGTTATATATACCATTCTTGATGTAACATTGTATAAGAAAAAATTTAAATAGGTTAAAAAAATTGTTTTTTTTTATGAAGACAAATAAGGTTATAAAATTCTTCATATATTTCTATAGTATTGAAAAGCTTACTTCTACAAATCTTTGAAAGCTTTGAAAAAAAGCTTTCCCTTACAAATCTTTCCAATACTTTGAAAAAGAATGCTCACTTGTACAAGTTTTCTTAAAGCTTTGAAAAAAAAGCTCACTTCTACATATTTTTCTAAAGCTTTGAAAAAAATCTCTCTTCTAGAAATCTTTTTGAAACTTTGAGAAAAAGCTCACTCCTAATCTTTTTAAAGCTATAATAAAAGCTCATTTCTACAGATTCTCTAAATCTTTGAAAATAATTCACATGTTCTTAAATGATGAAGTGGATTCATGCCTTAAAAACAATTTTGAAATAATTCAGAGATATAAATTTCTTATTAACTTAAATTAATAAACTTATCTTTGACTTCTAATGATATTGACCAACAAAATTTATTAGTTTTATGGTGAATTTTGGATGAAGTATTTTAAAATATTACACATTATTTTCATTTCTTATTTTGTTGGCAGAATAAATATTTATTTTAAAAATGTTTCATATTCTAACAGTATAAAAATTTAAAAATACCATCTATATTAAAAATATTTGTTTCTTTAATTTATTACAAATTTTGTTTGTGGTTTCTTTTGTAATAGTTTCATAATTAGTTTAAAAAATCTACAAAAATAATTGAACTATATCTTTCCAGTGATACTAGTAGAACAAGTCAGTATATGTTTTTATACTTTTGCAACATTAAATTTTTGCTATTTTTAATAGAACAATTGGGCATCAAAACTTTTTAAATACATAAATTATCATGAAAGTCTTCATTTTCAAGTAAAAAAATGTGGATGAAAATGGTGTTGATTTTTCTTATCATTTGCAAACAATCTATATTTGAAATATGTATATAAAAGGAGGTTTAAAATGCCACTTGATGGAAAAAAATTTAAATACACATGATCGTTAGCACATGCTTAACAGTTGCAATTACTAATATTGACCTTATAGAATCAGTCTGTTAGGCTTAACATAAAAATCAGTTATAATGTGTTTATAATGTGGGTCTTCAGGATTATTCAGTAAAAATAATGCAAACTCTAGTCCACCTAATGATAAAAAAAATTAATTTTATGTTATGTTTTATAGTAATGTTTTATACTGGATACTTTCATATACAGTGTTTCATCAGAAATAACTGTATGGCTAAATCACAAATAAACTTAATCACTTACAAACATGGTAACTTACTAACTGAGTCACTGACAAACAGACTCACTAATTCTTACTAACTCTTTGAAACTAACTGTAATGAGTAGCACCCAGGTGGGCTTAATTGTTGGAGTTTCAATTAAAACTTCTCATTGCACCAAATTTATTTATTGAAGGATTTGTCGTGATGAGTGGAGCCACAAGTCGATAACTTGAGGAAGTTTACGGTTAGACTAAAGAAATTGAGTCTCAGGCCAAGAGTGAACACTCAAAATAACGTTTATTCAACATTAACAACTTCTCAAAAACATTACACACTTTAAACATTAGTTTTATTGAATTATTACTTATATATCGCATTAAAAACTTTACCTACATACTTTTACTATCTTCTATGATTTCTACACAAGCTGATTAAGAGAGAGAGATTATACTTACAGCAGAGTTGGTTTGCTAGAGGCCTTAACTATGTTAGTCATTTTCATTGTCATAACTTCTTCAGTCCTGGAGCACTTTTCTTCCACCCTGGAGAACTTTTCTTCAGTCTGGGGAACTTGCTGGAGATCTTCTGGATACTTCTTCCCAGCCCCGGAGAACTTCTGAAAAGAACCCCTCTCAGTCTCGGATAGCTTTACATCAGTCCGGGAGAACTCCTTAGTCTCGGAAAAACTTAACTTTTCAGCCTCTGACATGGGTTTTTAAACTATCTTTGTATTATTTCGACCTCCTAAATAGGACACAGCATCACCCACAAGTAGTCCTGTGCTCCTATTGGATGATTTAGGGGAATTCACGGGCTAAACCAGAATCAAAACCAAAACTCTCAAGTAATTGGTCATAGATAAGTGGTGTTAGCCGGCCGCCTATTCACTTGTACTGCTACACCCATGAGCTGTAACTAATACCACCTCAAAGTACCGATATGACTCACCAAACCTAAAATTTTCTGTAGCTTTTCTAGTTCTAAGAGGGCGAGGTCAACAAATTTTTAAATTGTCATATGTACTGGTGTCTACATTCTGTTTCTATGCAGCATTTCTTACTAACTCTGCTGCTGTTCTTGGTTACTGGTTTCCAAGCTCGCTTCTTAAGCTTATTTTTGTAATACACGTGTCTTGTTGCTTGTTTCTAGGTGATACTCCTTACATAACCAAGTTCCTGTTTATCAATTCTCAAGGCTCATTTTGCAAGCCTATTTCGTAACACAGGCGTCCTCTTGTCGCCCCTTTTCTTTTTATATATATATATATCCTTGACAACTTGCTTATACTAAAAACCCTTAAGTTTTTATTATATGTATTTTCAACTACTAAAACTCTGAAGCAATTTATAAAATTTCCTCGAAAATTTTTAAGTTGCTTCATAACTAACTGACAGTGAACTGTTTAATCAATTTTAATTCACTCAGTCTTGACATTTTTATATTGTACTCTTATTTCATAATCATTCAAGATTCCACATAGGCCTAAGCTTTCATGAACTTAAAACAAAAAACCATGGCAGGTATTAACTTTCCTAAACTGGGATGTTCAGGGATATTAATATTCCCCTTCAACCCCACTCGCAAAAAAGAAAATTTTGCTAAGATGAAGGGGTTAAAAGAAATTTCATATCCGCTCATTTGGTTGGTGTGGAGTTTGACAGATTTCATGAACTTCTTGACACCAAACAATTATTATTTGAAGTAAATGACTCCCTCTAGTGAACAAAACAATAACATTCTAAAAATATAGGTTGTATTTTTAATCTTACCCTAATTGTTCTTGTTAGTGATTTCTGAATATTTACAAGTAACAAGATCGTTAGAATTGTTAAATCACAGAATATAATCACTATATATATAGCCCTGGTATCTAGGGAAACTTTTTTTTCCATTTAACTTAAAAGGTAATGAGGACAACTTAGATGGCATAATTAGATTGTTAATTCATACTGTAATTGTTTTATTTTTGGTTTGACACAGAAACTGGAAATGAAAAATAATTTAAAGCACACATTTTTTGCTATACTTTTATATTTAATAGCATGCAACTATTAGGATTAGCATCTGAACAGCTTGAAAATAAACACTTTTATTTGAGTTTGATAGTTATCAGCATTTTAATCATGTTGCAAACTAAGGTTTATAGAAATAATGATGCACTCTAAGCAAAATAAGGACCAAATCATGTTCCATTCTTAACTTGAAATGGAAAGCAATTTACTACTGTAAAATGTGTGATCCGTTGCAAACTTAGTAAGTGTTGTTTGTGATAATTTTTTGAACAGATATGTACTTGAATTTTAACCTCAGCCAGTAAATATTTCAATATATATATAGTCTGCTTTATGATTTTTATTTAATATCATATTTCTGATCCTTTGGTTACATTTAGTGATAGGTTCGATGTCATTTTATATTGAATTGCTGTTCTTATGTTCTTCTTTTTTGTATGACTAAGTTTAAAGTAATTGTGTAAGGTGAAAATTATTTTCATTTTATGTACTGTCTTCTGTCTTTCTTATTAGTATATATCAAAAAATTGTAAACTGAAATATTATGATTTTTTTTTAATTTGTGGAAAACTGCAACTTGACTGAGTAAAAATATTATTGTGACTTTCGATACAGAATCTGATGTATTTGTCACCCTTGTTGGAACACTCAGTTTGGCAGCTACAGGGGTCTGATAATATATTTTAAATCATTTAATATTGCAGGATTTTAACATTTTACTAAATATTAAAGGTCAGTTTCATTAAATATTGAAAAACGATTCTGTTTTTTCTGGTAATTTTGGATAGGTTTTTATTGAAATATTTATCAAATAGCATGCACCCAAGATGAACAACAGAGAACAGATTGATAGACAGATAATCATAAAATTTTGTGGGTATATTTTGGGAAAGAAAAGGTTCACTAACAACCTGTATAATAGAGATAATAACATAAATCAACAAACCAGAAACAAAAGATGTTAAAGTTGCAGAGTTTACAAAATGGTATAAATGTGTTTCATAAATTTATACAACAGCATTTAAAATTGTTTAATAGTAGATGTACATATAGTTTATGTATTGACAGTAATAACCTTTGCACATGATTTAAGTTATGGAATAAAATCAGAAAGTGAGGGCAAATTTTTAAGCAAATTGAAGTGACGATAAATAGGATGACAAAGGAAGTTATAACTTGGGAGATTGCATTTCCAATTTTGTGTAAGTAGACTAAAATGTTCCACATAAGTTCAGTTACATTGTAAAGCTACTAAGACTATCTGTTACCATCCATAATTTTGAACTACCAACCGGAAGGAAGGCAACACGACTGACAGTATCAACCACAACTGTTGAGTTACTCTTTACCATCAAATAGTACTTATGACCATCACATTATAACATCCCCTTGGCTGAAAGGGTGAGTGCATTTGGCACTGCGTTTGATCCTATGACCTGCTGATTGTAAGTCAAGTACTCTAATTACCATGCCATGCACCCAAGATTGAAGAGAAAAAGGTTTGAATATGGAATTGTTGCTGTAACTAGAAATGTCAGGTTCCTGTCACAGATTGCTGAATGCTTTGGTATATATCCTCTTTATTATAAGTACATAGTATGATTCCGAGTTAGCAATTTCAATAATTTAAAGATATGCATGTGAATAAACAGATATATTTAAAGATGCAGACTACTTATTGAATGACTTAATTATTATTACTTGCCAGTAATGCCATAACATGTAAAACTTAGGAGAGTAATGCAATATGTTTTAGAATACCTCTATGAGTATCATATTCCTTGGCATTGTGCTGATAGTTGCAGTGACTTTAAATGATTGGTAATATG